TGGGCCAGTCGGCACTGGGGCTGGGGGGGGTGCCCGGTCCCCGGTGCTCCCGGTGGCCCGCACGTGCGCCCGCCGCCCGCCCCCGCAGGACACAGGACACGGCAGAAGCTGCTCAGAACGTTTTTGGGTTTTTTTTATAGAAAAAGCTGGTTTTTGGTTCTTTTCTTTTCTCTGTGGACCCATAAAATGATACAATTCCGCAATATAGAAACGTGTAATAAATTAGATGACCCAATCCTCGCCCCTGCCCCCCCCACGACACAAAATAACCCCCAAACACCCCCAAAAATAGACTCCAGCCCATGCCAGAGCCTGTCCTGAACAGTTTTCCTCTTTGGTATCAAGGAGAGAGCGGCCCCCGGGACCCTAACACACCCCCAGAGACCCTCTGATGGGGAGGGGACGATGCCACCTGCCCCCCCTCCCCCCGAGGGTCCAGTCCCCTGGGAGATGGCGAGGAGGAGGAGGGAGGAAGCAGAGGCCAAGGGTTGTGCAAGACCCCAGCGTGGGAGTGAATCACAGCGGCCTGCAAACACCCCTGCTTCCCGCAGAAAGCAGGAAGGAGCCGGGGAACGCTTCCCCTTTCCCACCCGGCACCCTATCCCGGCGCACCCCAAAGCAGGGGGCTGGAGGACGGTGACATCCCTTGCCCCCCCGGCACCAGTGTCTGGCCCCCAGTGCTCCCTCCATAACCAGCCGTGCCAACACTGAAACAAGTTGCTCTGTAAACGTGGAGGGTTTTTCCTTCCTTTTTTTTTTTGTTGCGGTTGTGGGGTTTTGGTTTTTTTATCTTTTTTTTTTTCCTGTTTTATATAAAAAGAAGACACGTGGTTGAGGGGTAGGGGAGGGGGCAGGGTGCTGTCACAGCCCCCCCAGACCCCCCGCGCCTGCCCACGGTGGTGGCTCTGGCATAATACATTCGTGTGTGATGGGGTATTTGCACTCCATGGAGGTGAATACTGACAGAGGAGTGGCCCGGGGGGGCTGCTGGGGACAGCGGCCGTCCATCCTGGGGACGGGGAAGAGTATTTTTTTGGTTACACTGCGGCAGTCCAGACTCCTCCAAATCTCAGTACCTGGGCCCACATGGCCTCTGCTCCCCCCACAGGACCCCCCCCCAGGAGGGCCTTGGCCCCCCATGGGCCATAGTGAGAGAAGGGGGCAGGGGGGCCCCCGGCTGCACAGGAGGGGACGCAACTCCCCCAGCCTCACACCTTGAGCGTCTTGTCGGCCACGCCGCTGGGGCTGCCGGCGGTGCTGCCGTCGCTGCCTTTCTTCTTGCGCAGGGTCTCAATCCAGCCGGCGCTGGGGCGGGTGGCGAAGCTGGAGAGCGCCAGGGAGCTGAGCCGCATGTTCTTGCCCGACATGATGAGCTCCCCAAAACCCTCCTGGTGGGAGAAGGCGTAGCCGGAACGGCGCGAGCCCACACGCCCCACACGCCGCATGCACCGGTGCTGGGTCTTCTGCTTCTTCCGTACCAGCTGAGTGTAGCGCACCTGGGGACATCACCAGGGGACAGGGTCAGGGACCCCCAGAACCGCACGCCCTCTGGGGTTGGGACGCTGTATTCGCTCCCCAGGCCACACTCTCTCACCGTGTCTGAGAGTTCAGGTTTCAGGTCAAGCTTGAGGAAGCGAAAGGCCACAACGGGCATGATGCAGACCACGGTGGTGAGGGCGATGGTCAGCCAGACCGTGGGCTGGGCCAGCGTGTTCTGTGCATTACCTGAGGGGGAAGCGCGAGTCCAGCCAGGGCTCAGCCGGGGCAGCACCCTGCTGGGGTGGGGCAGCATCACTCAAGCCCCCCAGACTTACCCACAAAGCGGAACTGGTTGGGGAACATCTGGAAGAGGCCGTCGCTGTGCATGGCGAAGAGGATGGCAAAGTAGGCAGTCAGGCTGCCCCAGATGAAGAAGTGGTTGATAGCCGTCCAGAAGCCTGTGTCCAGCCCGATCTGATGGAGAAGGGAAGGGGGAGGTAGGGCTCAGGGGATGGCCGCAGTGCTCCGAGCACGGCCACAGGGCAGGATGGGACCCAAACTTTGTGCTACAGGCGAGGGGGCTGGGACCAAGCAGCCGTGTCCCCACCTGCACGCTGACGACAATCACAAGGGAGGTGGCGACAGTGACAGCAAAGGACTGGTAGTCGGCCAGCTGGGCGCCATCATCACGGGTGGCATCAGCGAAGACACCGTAGGGGATGAAGAACATGAGGACGGAGGTGTAGATGCCCTGGGCGATGCAGATGAAGAACTCCCGCTTGTTGAAGAGCAGGTTCAGCTGCCCAGGCTCGTAGAGCTTGGGGTACTCCATGCTCCGCTGCTCTGGCACATCCTGGGGGCACGAGGCACTCTGGGCACCTCCCTCCAGCCCCGGGCAGGCTGGGGCTGGGCTGACCTCCACCACCGCCCACAGAAGGACAAGGACAGCCCAGCCTGGGCACCCAGGCACCCCTTTCTCCCGCAGCGTGGGTCACGCAGGGGAGCCAGGCCAGCTCCTCACACACCCAAGGACCACCCTCACCGCCCCCCACTGTACCTGGTCGAAGACACCCATGGCGAGCACAGGCAGTGACGTGTAGACGATGTTGTACAGCGTGATGAAGTACTGGTCATACACAGTCTGCATGGAATGGAGTGCTCAGGGGGACACAAGACCTGCCCGCCCCATGCCCCAGCTGGCCCCTGCCAGAAAAGGAAAGCCGCTGCCAGCCCCCCCTCCCGAGGGTGCCCACCCCAAGCGGCACAGGGTGCTGCTGCCACTGAGCGGCAGCCCCGGCCATACGGGCTCCTCGCACCCACGACACGATCCCAAGCTGTGCCTGCTGGTGCAGGATGAGGTCCCACAGGGAGCCTGGGGACCGGGGCATGCTTCTGAGCAGAGGGGTCCCACAGACAAACCCTCCCCAACTCTAAGCACAAGAAGCCAGCAATGCACCTGCGCTGAGAAGCCGCAGAAGAAGCCAAACCAGAAGTGGACCATGGTGAAGGCAAAGTTCTTGTAGAAGAAGTAGCAGAGGAACTTGCACATGCGTAGGTAGGACCAGCGCCCGTGCACCAGGAGCAGGCGCTGCAGGAACTTGAACTGCGAGAAGGAGTAGTCGGAGGCCAGCACCGCCTGGATGCCCTCCTGCCCGCTGATGCCTACCCCAATGTGGGCAGCTGCAGAGCGAAGACACACGTGAAGTGAGGAGGGCTCTGCCAGGAGCACAGGGGACCAGGGGTGACAGCCCTCCACAGTGGGACTGTGTTCCAGTGGGACACAGAGGGGCAAGGACAGAGGCTGCCACGGGGCCTGGGATTGTGCAAGGAGGGACCTGTCCCTCCTGCAGCTCCCCAGACCCCAGGACGTACTCTTTATCATGCTAACATCGTTGGCCCCATCCCCGATGGCCAGGGTCACAGCTTTCTTGTACTTCTTCACCAGCTCCACCACCTGAGCTTTCTGCAAGGGTGTGACGCGGCAGCAGATGACAGCCTTGCAGGCACATGCCGTCTCCAGGAATTCCACCTCCATGTCAGCCTCCAGTGCATGGGCCTGCAAGGAGAGCAGGGGGACAATGGGGAGCATGGCCCACAGCTGGGCACGGTGCCCTGTCCAGCCTGGCACTCCCAGGTCCCTACCAGACTGTGCCCATTGATGACCAGGGCATATTCGCCTGCGATGGCTTCCAGCACTGAGGTGAACTTGGAGGAGGAGAGTTTCTCCTGGTAGGAGAAGCCGTTGCCCATGGAGCGCGATGCATCCATCATCTTCTCCCGGGCTTTTCTGAGGCAAAAGAGAGGGGTCGGGGGCCCCGATTCAGGGCACTTCCATATCCCCCAGCTCCCCCACAAGCAGCCGTGCCCCACGCTGGCCCCACGTGTGTCCTCTGCCCAGCCCTGCCCCCCCAACCCTCACCTGAGCTCCTCTCGCACCTCCAGCACAGTGTGGCCTGTGACCACAAACACCTCCGTCATGTCATCCGTCAGCATCTTGCAGGAGTAGCCGATGTTCACAGCTGTTTCTGGGGAAAGGAAAGCAGGGGCTGAGCCAGGGTCAGCTCAGGGGGGCGCGTCTGTCCCACCACCCCCCAGGCAGGTGGGATCCAGCCCATGAATGTTCTCATCTGCAGCCAGCCCAGACTCCTACCCCAGCAATGCCTCACCCTGTTTGTCCCCCGTCAGCACCCAGATCTTGATGTTGGCCAGCGTCAGGATGGCAATGGTTTCAGGGACCCCCTGCTGCAGTTTGTCCTCGATGGCTGTGGCTCCAAGCAGCTGGGGGACCCAAACAGGTGGGAGGTCAGCAGGGGCTGCCCCCCAGTCGCCTCCCGCCCCCAGTGCCCCCAGCCCACGTACCATCATATCATGCTCCAC